TCTAGATTCTGTGATTTCTGAAAGTATGGTCTACCACCATGAGCCAGAGCATGAACAGGGGCTGTTTGCAAACCACAATTCTCTGAAAGTGAAAAAAAGGTAAAGATTGTGGTATTGTGAACATAATTTAGCTTCTTCTTTTTTTTTTTTGGACAAAGAATGCAGCTTTTCCTTATGGCCTTGAAGATGTGCATGTGTGTAGAGCCAAATGAAATCTCAGGAACTATGGGACTTTCTAAATGTCCAGGGAGCAAGGACTAGCAGAAATTATAGAAAAACTGCAGAACAAATGATGCAAGAGAAACCATACAAGCTTGCCTAAATTGCACAGGTCATAGATGCAGCATTAAATTCTTTTTTTTCCTGTCATCAAGTATGCACAGGCCTGAGCATGTCTGCAGCTGAAAACTGGGTTGAGAAACGTATTTCCCCAGTGACCATGTTACATAAAAGTTGGTTTCTTTCTTCATCCCGGTTTTATGACAACACCCACTGTTTCAGCTAAGATAACCCTTTTTGCCAAGTGTCATGTGTTGCACGTATTCCATGAGCACAGAAGACGAGAAGGGGGGGGGGGCAACTTTCTTGAACCAGGATTTCCACTGCATCTTCTGCAAGACTTTTTCCCCAGCCAGTTCTACTGAGCAAATACTTAGACAGCAATTTGCACTTCATAACTTGTGCACTGATTCTCTGAAAAGAAGGTAAACTGAGTGATGATGTGCCCTTCATGGCAGACAGAAGAGCAAAGGGTATGTCTGGCATCCATGCTCAATGATTAATCAAGGGCTTTTTCAGTTGATATAATTGTAAGTGCAGTTTTGAAATAAATCTATGGCAAGACACACCATCTGAACCAAAAACGTCAACAAGCTTTCAATACTAAAGATGCTTTAAATAAACTCCAATCACAAAAAACAGACTAAAATTGCTAAACTTTTAAAGTAGTCAATAATTTAGTAGTTGGATCTCACTAATAGACTTCCTGTGACTGTGTTGTGTAATGATGCTGCATCACCCAGCTGTGTACTGTGAGAATCAATCTGAGATCAATATGTTCTGTGAGTTTTTTCTGTTGTTCAGAAGCTGTGAAAAAGAAAAACAGCGACATGGGGCTTTTTGTCATGATCACATTATCAGGCTAAATAACCCAAGGCTCTTTGGTTGCTTCCTTTCTCAGAGGAGCAAAATAGTGCTTTGGTTCTTTGCGTACATGAGTTGTTACTAGTTACTTGAATAGCATTTTTTGTATGTAAAGAGCTTTACGTTTCTTGTGATTATAATTTTCACTACAACTTTATGACATTAAATCATTTATATTCCCATTGTGTGGCTTGAACCCAGATTCTCAGAAATAGGGGTGACTCTTGGCTTGGTGAGTTATTCAGAACTTGGGAGTCCATTTTAGTTCAGAAGGGAAGAGATATGTGCAATATCAGTCCCTAGGATATGGCCAAGGCTTGTATAAATATGAGGAATCCAGCCTTCATCTCTGGGCTAGTCACCAGAGCAGCTCTTTTTTGCTTCTTACACTTGAGGTCAGGGGTGGTGGGCGTAACCACGAAATGGTTGCTGCAGGAGGCACAGCCAGCCACTCAGAGGAAGCCCAAGTGCAGGGGAAAAGTGGGGAAATTTCAAAAATACACTGGGAAAGAGGCATGAGAGAGAATAAAGCCAACAGGGTGGTGGCAGTTGCCAGTGGAACAATTGTATTTTATTCTGCACAGCCAATCAGATCTCCAGTGCACAATCAGAAGCCCTGCTAAGTAAGAGCCACATGTGGTTCCACCCACTTTCTAAAAACATTTGGTGGGCACTAGGAAAGATGCTGGCAGGCACCATGTTGGCGGGCACCATGGGCTTCGTGTTGAGCACCCCTGCTTTAGACAGTTGCGTCTCCAGCTTCTATCTCAAGCCACTGACCTCAGGGACTCTGAGCTGAAGACCCTCCAGCTGAAGATGTGAATATAGCCACTCTTAGCCTTAGCCTGGATGGCCCAACTATCCAAGTAACCCATACTTGGCCTGGCAATATTGTTAGCAGTGTTAGGTAGCAGAGGGCACTTTCTGAGATGCACTCCCAGGCACTTTTATGATGTTATTGGAAATGCTGGGCTGCAACACTTGGCTCTGTGTGATCCAGAAGCTGTCTCTCATCATCCTCTGCAATATAGCCAAGGATGGTTCATGTGGGACATCCCTGTGGGACTAGACGTTTCCTTTTTACAGAAGAGCACTGGAGCTGAGAAACAATAACTTGCACAATTTCTCTTCCACACTCTCACAATGGAAACTTCATGACTAAGCAAGAATTTGAACTTATATCTCCATGATCTAGTTACAATCCTCTCCACTTTATGGCAGTGGTTTTAGTTGTTCTCTTGTAAGCAACTTGTAAGTTCCTCAAGGGGCGGTTCTGTCCCCGATGTTATTTAACATCTACATGTGCCACCTCACCCAGATTGCCCAGAGGCACAGGCTAGGGTGTCATCAATACACTGATGACACCCAGCTATACCTGTTGTTGGGTGGTCAGTCCGACTCTACTCCAGATGACCTGGAACGGGCGCTTCATGACGTGGCAGGCTGGCTTAGACTGAGCCGATTGAAATTGAATCTAACGAAGACGGAGGTCCTGTGCCTGAGTCGGAGAGCGGGTTGGGGGTAGGGATCCCACTACCGACCTTCGATGGGGTGCCACTGGTGCCAGCGTTGAGGGTCAGGAGCTTGGGAGTGCTCCTGGATGCCGTCTTAACAATGGAGGCCCAGGTAGCAGCCACTGCCAAAGCAGCCTTTTATCACCTATGGTTGATGAGGCAGCTAGTTCCCTTCCTCGAACGCAATGACCTGGCAACAGTGATCATGCTATGGTCAGCTTGAGATTAGACTGCTGCAACGCTCTCTACATGGGGCTGCCCTTGTCTTAAATCCGGAGGCTGCAGCTAGTGCAAAATGCGGCAGCCAGGCTGTTGATGGGCCTCTCTATAAGGGACCACATCCAGCCTGTGCTGAAGGCATTGCACTGGCTGCCAGTAGCTTACCAGATTCATTTCAAGGTCCTGGTTTTGTCCTTTAAAGCCCTATATGGTCTGGGGCCTGCGTACCTGAGGGACCGCCTTTTCCCATATGTGCCCCAGAGAGCACTGAGTTCAGGGGCACAACATCGCCTGACTCTCCTTGGCCCGAAAGAAGCCAGGTTGGCTACTACAAGAACTAGGGCCTTTTCGGTGGCGGCTCCACACTGGTGGAATGAGCTCCTAGAGGACATCGGGGCCCTGCGGGACCTTTTACAGTTCCGCAGGGCCTGCAAAACGGAGCTCTTCCACCAGGTTTTCGATTAGGAGCCGCCACTGACAAATGAGCCGCTGGAATCCACCATGGCCCTTCTGACACACCGTTGGATAGTGCCTCCATTGTATACTGAATGCCACCGTCATTTGTATTGCTTTTGTAATTTATGCTGCTTACGTGAATTTTAATATATTTATTGTTTATTGTATTTTAATGTTTGTTAGCTGCCTTGAGCCAGTTTGTCCGGCAAGGCGGGATATAAATTGAAATAATAAATAAATAAACAAACTATAACCCCAAAGTACTCTGTTATTTAGCAGTGATGTAGAATCTAGTAATTTAAAATCTGGTAATTTGCAGTGTAATGCTAAACAGGGATTTAGAAAGCTGTAAGTCTGCTTAGGCTTGCACTGTTGTCCTAATTTTTGTTTCTGCATTAGATAAAGTACATGAAAATTAAACAATGAGGACAGTGCCAATTGTATGTGTAATGAGTTGGTTATTACCCTCTTGTATATGGACATTTTGGCAGTTTAGGATTGTGTTTTCTTTATTTCCTCCTTGCCAAACAGATGTTTCATAGTGTCCGTTTTGAAAGTGCTTATTACCTATTGGAGAGGAATGGATGGGAAATCCCCGGAGAATGGATGATTAACGCTGTCAGAGTTGACAATGCCACCACATGACCCCACTGATCAAGTTGGGAGGATCTAAGCTGCATTAGCACAGTCACACAATTTTCTTGTAATTTGAATCTCAGCCTGTGTTTTCGTCCTCCTTGCTTTGTGTGCGTGCGTGTGTGTAGTTCAGAGAAGTATTGGACTTCCAGTTATGTTTCCAAAGTGTATCAATGCCAATACAAGGACAGTCTACACTCTTATCTAACAAAAGTGGGATAAAAGGGTGGTGGTGGAGGAAAGTGCTGTCAAGTCACAACTTACTTGTGGCAACCCCGTAGGGTTTTCAAGGCATGAGACAACAGAGGCAGTTTACAGTTGCCCGCCTCCACGTCACAACCTTCATATTCCATGGAGGTCTCCCATCCAAATATTAGCCAGGGCTGACCCTGCTTAACTTCCAAGATCTGATGAGACTGGGCTAACTTGGGCTCTCCTGGTTAGGGCAAGATAGAAGTCCTTCCTAGAAATTGTATCAGCTTTTTGCTGGTAATTATATGAAAATACAGGGGAACCTAAAAACCAGTCATGAAACCACAACAGGAAGAAGGTATTTATGGATTATATGTTAAATGGTAAGAGACCATTATTGAGAAGTCTGGATATAAATCTTTTCAAGAAATAAATATTTTCTAGACTTCCAGTATCTACCAAAATTGATATGGGCACACACATTCAGACAAGAGCATGAGATATTTCCACTATTTATATTTCTGTGTATTTAGGCAGGTGGATACATGGGATTTCACAGTAGCCCATAACTAACAACATTAGTTACTGCATCAAATATAACTTGGGTGTCAATTTTTATTGCCTTGCAATGGTATGATTCTATTTAGAATTGTTCTGTAACATATTGATTGATCAAAAAGTACCCTAGATTGAGGAAAAATGTTTTAATTGGATAGCTGATAATGCAGCAATACATTTTTCTGCTTGAATGTGATATTTATGCCTTTTGTTGCATTACAGAAGCATTTGTGTCTATTTCTGGAGAGAAGAGAAAAATTTAATTGCACTCCTGTTTTATAGGACAGAGTTCATTCAGAAAGGGAGTATTTCCATTAAAGGGGCAGGGCTGCTGAATTGCTTGCTGGAAGCTTTTGCACAAACATTTTTAACTCAAGGTGCCAAAAAGGTAAGTTATTTAATTTATGTTTTTTTAAATAATCTTTTTTAGATTCTTGACATTTCAGATGTTATCATAAGAATGAATGTTTATTTATGGTTTTCTCAGTAATTACCTTTTCTCAGTAATTTCAGATGGCTGTGACAGGCAGCAAGCTCTATTAACATATTTCTTTAGTTCTTCAGGAGTAGTGTCTGAATTTCAGGTGTTTCCCAAACAGGGGCTGTAATCACATGCACAATTAGCCCCACCATAGGCGCAGATGCTGGGTGGATTTAAAGGGCGCAATCAGATGCAAACATCTGGGAAGTGTCTGGCACCCGTTGGCAACCCGTTTTGCTCCGCCGCAGAAGCGGAGTAAAAAAACACCTGGGAATGTCCGGTAGCAAATGGATTGCTACAGGCCACGGATGGACTTTCCCCTGTGTGATTGCTCCAGCGTGTTCCCATGGCGTCAGGATGGTCTGATCAGGCCATCCTGTTCCTTCCTTTTTCCCCCCCCCCCCCCCGTCTCGGTATATGCATCATCGCATACTGCATAGGAAGCGCTCAGTGCGGAGATGCAAATCGTCGATCCCTTGTTGAAGCACACTGGAAACACATGGCCAACAACCCCCCCCCCCAGATTCACCCACGGTTGCATCTAATCATGCAGTGGCGGGCTGCCCCCACAGCTTCCAAGGACTGTGTGATCATGCAACTGCGGGTCAAATTCCTACGGAGCAAATAGCCTTGCTTCCTCCCTGCATTATCTCGCGTTTGTGACCGCAACCAGGGATAGGCTGCTGTGGTTCTCCCATTGCTGCTGTGGCTGCCAATAGAGTGCAGTGACAACAGGCTTCCACTGGTAGGTTTCCCTGTAGTTTAACCTGGATCAGCCTTCAGCAGCAGACATCCCCATTGCATGACAAGAGCTTTTAATTTTTTTTTTATAAAAGCGGCAATTACATTTTATGTTGTTGCAGAGATATGCCTTTCCCCTTATATTTCCACAGTGAAAGTCTAGAGACTCACTTAAAAAAAAGCTGAATCAGGGAATGCAGAGAACCTGATACACAGATTATTATACTCATATAATGATATTCAGTTGCTGAAAAACAAGAAAGTGTCCGATTGATAGGGAGGAAATGGCAGATCCAGGGACAGGATCAGGGAAAATGGCTGTCAAGTGGGTGGGACCAGGAGAATCCAAGCTTTCCCACCCACACAATAGTCATCCAGGCTTTGCTGGGATATTTCCCAAAACTTTGCAGCAAAGCAGGTTTGGGAAAGATCAAGAAAAGCTGAGGAAAACCTAGGAAGTACACAAATGAACCAACATGCTGTGGGGAAGCAGAAAAAAAACAAACCAACTCGTTTCATTGGACCCATATGGGAAAGATCTCAGTTGCTTGAAATTGCATTCAGAGTCTGAAAATGAATGTTGCTAATGGGATGTGAAAAATGGAATTGTTTAGGAGGGTACTTTTATAAAGAGAAGAGGATTGCAGTCTTAATGCCTGTGTAAGTGTTATTACATTGTTTATTGGAAGTATTATATTCTTCTTATTTCATGGTTCACATTTTATTGCTTTGTTTGATACATTTAAACTGGCCATTTTTGTCCTGCTTTCTAATTCTGTAATCCACCTTTAGTCTCAATGAGAAAGGCAGACGATAACAAATAATTAAGCAAGCCATAGTACAAGGATCGAAATAGTACAAACTATAGTGCAAAGACTTGAATCGTGAGCAGTTCTGCACATCCTAGGAAACATACGGCTTCCAGTTCTTAAAAATCCTTTCCTCTTCCTCCAGAAGTCTGCTCTTGAAACTGAGGGGAGTTTCAGACATTAAAATGAAAATTCCATTGGGAATGCCTAAAGAATAGATCCCAGTAAACAGTCACACCTGACATTCAATGGTGCAGATTTCTGTATTACTGGAGTAAAGTTCTAAGGCTACAAACTATTTTTAAACTAACTTTAAACTTAAAACTAACTTTTAAAAAAAGAATCAGACATTAAGGAATAGTTAACCATGCAGTTTCACTGACTAATGTATCAGAAGTCAACTGACTTCTGTTTCACAATGTGAAAAAGTGTCCAGATCCTGCCACATGAAGCTGCTGAATCTACAGCTATGTCTTCTCCAGGAAGAGTCATAGGTGCCCATTCTTTGCAGTGCTGAAGTTGTGGCATAGTCATTTCTGTAGTGATGCTGTAATACTGACAGGTGCAGCACCACATGAACACATGATGATGCCTTATGCTAGCCATGCACATGCAACTCCTCCATGCGCTGACTGAATGTGTGGTGAGGGAGAGTGGACATGAGTGTGCTGGCCCTGCCTCCATGTGATTGCCAGTTTGCCCCCTTCCATGATCAGCAATGTTCAGAAAGCCTCTGATCATGGGAGTGGAGTGTACATCTGGACACTGCCTCCACATGTGCTTACAAACTGTTGATCACGTGGAGGCCAGGCATGGGGATGGCTGCCCTTGCCTCCCCCCCCCCTTGTGCATTCAGTTAATGCACCGAGGGGTCATGTGTACAGAGTTGGACTGTGGGTCTATCAAGGTCAGCATTGTCCATGATGACTGGCAGTGGTTCTCCAGCATCTCAGGTCTTCCACATCACCTGCTACCTGATCCTTTTAATTGGAGATATCAGAGATTGAGCCTGGAATCTATTGTGTGCAAAGGACCTGCTGCCTTCATGTCTTGTGCAGGGCCAATCTCTTGCAGTGTAGTTGCTGAGCCAGGATTGGGGAGGGTGATCTGGTGGATGCATATGTAAGTGCTGTCAAGTCCCATCCAATTTATGGAGACTCCAGCAAGGGAGAAGGAGAGGTGGTTTGCCATTGCCTTTCTTTGCAGAGTCTTCCTTGGACTCCTATCCAGATACTGAGCCTGCTTAGCTGACAAGATATGATGAGAATGGGCTATACCCTGCTGCCTTCCTTCCTGATTAGGTGGATAGAACCACACAAATGTCCTCACCCACATTGTCCCAGGCTTCCATGTATTACAGCAGTACTGTAAAAAGCCAAAGAAAGCCTGCTGCCATACCACTGTATGGTACATATCACAGTTATGTTTTGCTACAAGTGCAGACTTGCTGTGACATAATATTTGAAGAAGAAGAAGAGATTGGATTTATACCCTACCCTTCACTCAGAGTCTCAGAGTGCCTTACAAACTCATCTCCCTTCCCCTCCCCACAACAGACACCCTGTGAGGTAGGTGGGACTGAGAGAGCACGTTCAAGAACTGCTTTTTCTTTCTTTTCTTTTTTTTGTTTAACAATTTTTTATTGAAGTTTTAATAGTACAAACAGATATTAATACCAAATATAACCACTTCAGATTTGACATAAATTTTTTAAGTATGAGTAACATCTTGATCTGTAAAGAACTGCTTTTTCAAGAACAGCTCTGACAGAACTATGGCTTGCCCAAGGTCATGTGGCAAGTGCAAGTGGAGGAGTTGGGAATCATACCCGGTTCTCCCAGATTAGAGTCCGCGCACTTAAACACTACACCAAACTGGCTCTCATTTGGACTATGTTGGCAGGAAAAACTGTGTGTGAAGTACAAGGTGGGGAGTATTTAGACTTTGGACTCTGTGAAATCACCATATGGACAATATGCAGACATGCTCAGGCCTATGCATGCTTGATGACAGAAAAAAGACATCTGGTGGTCTCACAATGCTTACAAGGGATTTGTGTCTCTTTTTCCTATGACCCTGTGCCTTCTCAGCATTCATTTCAGCTGAAGTCCGGGGGGGGGGGGCTGAGGGAAAATGTAAAGCACGGGGACAGGAATCTGGCAATAGAAAAGCCCTGATTTTACAACCTAGTCACCCAGGAAATGAAATGGAAACACAGTATGTTCAAGCAAGTGAAGGGAAAAATGACCCCCCCCCCGGTTTTGATTCTTTTGTGGAAAAGGATCTTGTTGATTTCATTCATCCATATGGTAGTTGATAAGGTAATTGTATGAATAATTTAAAAGTCGTGGTGCAACAAAAAGAATTGATTCTGGAAAACTCGAGATAAATGTCAGAATTAGAAAGTATTTTGAGATTGTGCCAATACAGCTGTACCACATTGTGGAAGGAAGATACGGCTGCCACAGCTATACTTTTTCTAAACAAATGTTGATTAAAAAAACAAAACAAAAATGTCTCTGGTCTGCAGCCATTCAAAGTTCTGTCATCTAGGCTGCTAGATAAACTTTAATCTTGAATAGGTCCTTGACATTTTCCCCCCAGCTGTAGATGGTCCAACTCTTTTTAAAGAGTTTTAAACATTTTCAGTTACTATCTTTGGCTGACTTGCTTTGTTCACTATCCTTCTTGTTATATCCATGCTTGGCATAGACAAGATAAAGCTCTTGTAATCAACCAAAAGGTATAATCCAGAAGTAGATGGATGCACTGGGCATATTTGGCACGCACTTCAGATTTAAACACCCAGTCACCGAATGCAGCTCTTTAAAAAAACCCAGCTGGCGGGAGTGCCCAGATGAAACCACCAAGCTTTATATTGTCATCCAGGTCAGGAAATATTTGAAGTGTAGCAAGATGTCTTTTGTCTGTCATGTGTATAGAGCCTGTGTAGTTGTCACAGAAATCAGATTCACAGACTCATTCCTTCAGTTGATAGAACTGGAATTCAAGACTTTTTGAATTCCCATGACACCATTTTCTGTCTGAAGACAGTGTTCTTGTACTTGTGCTTGATATATTGCGTTCTGTTTAGTTGGACTGGGGAAGGGATGGGGATGTTGCAGTTCAAGAGGACCCGTTTCCACATGTGAAGAAAACCTGGTGTCAAAAGCTTGACTGGCTAGGCAAGCTGAATGGCACTGCTGCCTCTCCGAGGGTGTGGGATCAGTTGGACTGAAAATGATGCTTGCTCCTGGACATGACTGGGTATGTAACAGTTTTCTTGTGCCAGTGAGAGTACAGGCACTATAGTTTTGGTGCCACTGCAATGTGCAATCTAGCATAGTGTTCAGTATA